CCTTTTCTAGGGAAGTGAAATTGCATAAATTCGGTAAAGGTGTAAATCTTTCAAATTAACACCGATTTAGGAATCATTTCAAAGATCCGGAAATCTCTTTATGAAACCTATCTATTTTACAGAATGATGGAACGCAGGATCTCTCTATGACCGAACCATTGCAATAAATGGTTATTTTTATTAGATCGAAATTCTTCGAGAACCATCCTTGGCTCCTGTCAATAAATTCATGATACTCCTTTACAAAGTCTAATTGCCAAATATCACCTCCTAAGAGAGAATGATTTTACGCAGCAAATCATTCTTAGACAAATAGAAATGGTTTGCCATCGAGTCGCAGATACAACTGTCCATGGAATTTGCGATTTATGTAAAAATGATCTGAGGAAGCAGTGTTTGTAAGGGCAGCTGACATCGTTGTCCTTTTCATAACTAGCTATTCTGGTCATCTGAGGACCCCATCCTCTTCATGGCCACTGGGCGTGATTGAGCTTTACACCCCAGAGAGCAGGAGCCGCCAAAGTCGGCACTTGTCTAGCAGCTCTATTACTGTAATAACCCTGGTTCTGGATTTTCGAAACTAATCAGCAGGTGAATTGCAATTGTAATTGGGCAACACTCTCCCTATATGGGCAGGGTTCTACTTGAACCACTTTCGTAAGAATTCTTTTAATCACAAAGTCCCTCATTATGCTATTTTGGGTACATCCTTGTCAATATCATTGGCAACTCTGTCCCATATTGCTGGCTGGCTGGCTGCTTCTAGAGGCTGTTGTTCTTTTTGTTTCTGTGGCCTCCTTGAAAAAAATGTTTTTTCTTCCTTCAAAGGAAACAAGAACCTCGACAAAAACAACAACAACAACCAAGATGGACTTGCAAACAGAAAAATCGATATTTTCACTTGTGTGAATGTTGTATGTGTGTTAGATGTATGAGTGAGTGTTTGGAATTGTTTTGAAAGTACATGGATTTCTTGTTGTTGCTGGGTTTTTTCTCTTGCTGTGTGTTATTTTTCTTTTATTTTAATGAGTTTCCTTTCATCATCAAACTTAAACATTTACCCAAACCACCATCAGCGCCATCACCACTGCCATTACGCACGCATTTCTTCTACAAAATAGAAAAAAAAAATATTTTTTTTCTCAGTTTAATGGAGGTCGCTTTTCTTTTTTGTATCTACTTCTCGGCTATACTTTTCAAGATTGTGTAGAACTTTGTTTTTCTTCTTTGTTCTTGTTGTTTGGTTTCCTTTTTTATTGTTGTTGTTGTTCTTCTTCTGCATACAAGAAGAACGACTGGAAAGTCTATTTCAATGTTCATTCCTTAATAATTTAAAAAGTTTCCATTTGTGATTTTAATGGATTTCTGTTTGTTTTTCGTCATATTTTGTGTTCGGCTTCATGGCTGGATATCTTTTTTCTGATGTTCTGATGTTGTTGTTGTTCTCGATTTGTTTACGCCAACCATTCACCCACCACCCCATCAATTGTAATGCATGATGGTGTGGAGTGTTACTATTTATTTGGCGGATGTGTCAGTATGGCAAAAAGTGTATTGAAAAAATATTTTTTTTGTTGTCCTTAAATGGATTGCTTGTCTTAACCCATTTTAGTTATTTGCTGCTGCTGCAACACAGAACTTCTTCAGAACTATTAGAGGCAGCCATCTCCTCTCTATCACGTAGTCGTATTATTTTCATTTCATTTTTTTGTTCTAATTTTTACTGATGGTTTTCCCTTATTCTACAAAAAATTTCATCACTCCCACCCTTCCCTCTTTCCTTTTGTTACACTATGTCTCAATTTTCTACTTATGGGTGGGTGGTTGGATGTTTGGTCCATACTCCTCTACTCTACTCTTCTATTCTCATATTACTTTTATGTGCTTCTCCGAGGATTTGGTGTGTCCTGTTTGGTGTTGTTATTGCCATGAAAGTTTTTTTGTTTAATTTTTGTCTTTCTTTTTTGCCTAATGTCGCAATTTGCTTCTTCTTCTTCGTCGTATTTGTTGTTAGGTTTTTAATGTTCTCATTTCTTTTTCTCGGGGACTTTAGCAGCTATAAGTTTTCTTCTTTCTTTTTTTGTTGTTGGTGTTGTTGCCTTAGAGATTATTGGAGTATGCGTTTTATCGTAGTTGTTTTTGTTCTGAAGAAACTTTTTTATAAATGCCTGTGCTGCCGTCCAGGGTCGTAAATTTTTGGGCGTTTTTTTTCCCATAGAGCTTTGTTGTTGTTGTTTTGATTTTATGTGTATCTGAAAATTTAAAGAGATAAAAATTAAATTGAGGAAAAATGTTAGGGAAAATTTAAAGATGTTGGAAATTATAAAGTATTGGCGATACTTAGTAGCTAACTTACTAACTCTTGGATTATGTATATACTTTTGAGTCTTCTTGGGTCCAATGGATCAGGAAAACTAACTTTTTTAATAATTTTAGTTTTAATCCTAGCATGTAGGTATATCCAATGATAAAATTGAGTGTTTTATAGATTCAATGCCTCGTAGCAGTGCTGTGTTTATAAAGTTTATAAATTTATTTTTAAAAAAGTTACAGGCCTTTTAAATAGTTTGTAATTCTAGTTGCCTAAGTTTTTTCCTCTTGGGTATAAAATTAATACTCGGTTAAGCAATGCTTTTGAGAAATAATAAGAACCGCACCTACATAGATAAGATTTTATGTCTATGGACCTGTCGGATTTGGCGTTGGTTTTTCAATTGTATTCAGTCTGAGAAATAATATTCGAAATCCACACTAATCTTCTGATAGATTATAATTCCCTCATCTACTGCAGATTATTTGCCAGAAACTATTTAAGAACACTCACGAACATAACAAGAAATAAAATTTTGGAAAATAAAATGTAAACAATTATAAATGGCTATCTTATTCAGGCAACATGGTTTCCGACTCGAATCAACCTAATTTTGAAAATTCATATATTCAAATATGAAAATTGTCATGGGATCTACGAAAGTGTGGTACAAAATTATTTCATAATTTATAATTTTACATATTGAGCCAAACAGTAAAGTGGCTGGAACAGATATGGCCATATTCATATTCCTTATCTTACCAGGGGGGCTTAGTAACAAAACTTATGTAGTGTAAAACCATTGTGCCCACAAAAATTCTTAATAGGGGATTTTTAATTTTTTTGACCACTATCTCTATTAAATTGTTTTTCATTCATGATTCTAGAATCCCGAATAGAGAAAAATGAGCAGGTAATACTGATGCAAAGTATTTGCTGATTTTCTGCTACGATTGGCTCCATGAGAGTCATGGCGAAGAAGCCATAACTGCCCTGATGTTCCTAATATTGCACCCTGTGAACTCTGAAACCCTTTATTCATAAGTTTAACAGGCAGGCGAATTCATGCCTTAGTCTTCTCATCCTGTCAACATTTTAATCGCGAAATACCAACCAGAACAGGATAAAATCTCAAAACATCTTTCAGGAAAACGTAATGATAGTAATGTGCACAAATATTTTGGTTCGAATAAAAATATTTTTTGTTTATTTCTTCTTCAAACAATAAATCTGACAGTCAATGAAGACTACGAATTCATCTCTCTGTTAACCTTATGAACAAATCTTGCCCTTAACAAACCTTTTTATTCTTCTTAGAAACATGATTTTTACTGGCTCATTACCAGAATACAATTTTCCTTCCCACATTATTTTATAATATAAAAAATATACATATGTATATTGAAACAGTTGAATAATAAATAAATATGATGAAGTGGAAATTGTTATAATGTTTGAGTTAAGAAAAGTGTTGTTTTTTTTTTTTTAATTGAAATAATCAAGCAATAGAAAATTTAAGAAAACTAAAAAATTCTGCAAATTGCCTACCACCAACACAGCAAGAAAACGAAAAAAACTTGCTGCTTTAATATGGTCAAACATCAAACATGCCAAGAACAGAGCAAACACAAACATATTTTATGGCATCCGCAACAAAACAACATGAAACAAATCACAAACCAACACAGCAGTGTTTTCAACTGCAACATGATTGTCGCAAACATGAGAGAAAAAAAACCCGGCCTGATTGCAACTCAACAGTAGCAACAGCAACTCACCACTATGAAAACAAAACACACAACATGTCGTAGTTGCATGCACAAGTTTGAACCGTTTCAATAGACGGCCATTATAAATTTCCATACACGAAATCGAGTAGGATGACTATACGTGACTTGTATAGCTGTGCTATTTCCTTTTAAGCGGTTTGTACGAATGTGTTGTGTCGGTTGGGTCGGCCATCATGGATTTTTAATGAAACGGTTAAGCAAAGTTGTATTTTGTTCGTATTGACAATTCCCATAGAGTTGTCCCGCTCATTTGTTTTCGGCGAACTCACCACATTTTTTGACATTTATACTTTGGTGCGGCATTCGTAAGGAAAAACAAGACGCAATCAGTTGCAAAAACTGATAAACGGCAAAAAAATAAATATTTTTAATTGTTTTTGGCAATAAATAAGAAACGAAAACAAAAGGAGATTGGAGAGTAGATGAAGCGGCAGAGAGAAACGTGATTATTTATATGTTCTATATTGTGACTGGGTTTAAAAAAAAAACAGAGAAGCAGGAGAAAAGGAATTTGTGTCAACTCCCTGCCATTGTGTGGTCTGTTCCCCTGCTAATGCTGTTCATCATCAATATGGAGGAGACAATTTGAAAACAATTGTGTATGGGGAAGTCTGCTGATATTGGGACAAACTGAAAACATAAATTGTGGGCAATTGCTCTTGTTCTTCGTGCCTGAACTGCCCTCAATTGCTGTGTATGAAAATACAGTGATTTTCAAACTATTATTCACCACACACAGTGTTGTACACAAAAGAAATACACCATACCGTATATAAAGTAGAAGAAGAAGAAGCAGCAGGAAATATATAAACAATTACAGTTTGAAATCAATTGGTTTGTTATCATAACCCGCAAAATTCAGAAAAAGTACATTTTGTTTACGAATTCCCATTTTTCAGTTTAGAAACAACAACAATGATGTCCTCACCCGAAGCCCACACATCAACAACACCAAATCTTGGAATTGCAAGTGTTACTGGAGTAACTGGCAGCGCCGCCACAATCAATCCCCCTTCATCGGCATCTGCATCTGGATCCGCATCTCAAACACAAACATCGGAAAGACGTTGTGAGAATCCCGATTGCAATGTCAATAAATTAATTTCCATGGTACCAAAACGTAAAACCACCCAATTCATATCGGAACCAAAGGTTATGGAGAAACCGATGTTGGTTAATGGTTTCACTGCCGTCTTTCAAGTTGAGGGGCAATCGGCCAAATTGATGGATATTAAAAATCCCAATGGAGATCCAAATGTCAAATCAATATATCGTGTTGTACCCAATTCACATGTCCATGTTGTCAATTATGTTGTCGTAGATACCGATGAAGCCTATTTGAAAAAGATCACCAATAATGATCCTGCAACAATGCAAAAACTATTGACCACACAAAAAGATAGTGCCGATCAAATGCTAAGGAAAATTATGAATGGTCAAGGAACAACGGCAACAGCTGCCTCCACTACAGTGGTGTCAACAATAAATCCACCACAAAACAGGTCAATGGTGGATAATAATCCCAATTCTTTTTCACCCATTGTCAAGCCTCCCTCCAGTTTGTCCATTTCAATGGCGACAGCAGCAGCAACACCAGCCTCAACAACAGTTCCTAATCAAGCTGGTAAAATGTTGCCAAATGCTTCAATTAATTTACCAGTTCGTATGCATCCAAATTTGAAAATTACCGCGGTAGCAAGTGCAGATAGTGTGGGAAGCACAAATACTATTGCCGCTCATCCCTCACCTCCCTTTATACAACCTGTGCCATTGGCAAATCTACAAACTCCCTCGGCAGTAGCGGCTGCCACCTCGGTAGCCACCGGTGCCGTTCCACAACAATTAACTAAACCACCACCCGCCACATTAAAATTGCAAGCAAAAACTGTCCCTAGCCCTGCTATGAACGTCCCAGACAAGTATGCTCTAATCATTTACTTTGCGTGCATATGTATGTGAGTGTGTGCAGGAATGTCATTGATATGTTTCTGCATAAGAAAAAGAAGTTGGCATAGTTGAAGGATAAAAGACGAATCGTTTTAGAGCTTAATTCTGGTTGTTGCATGAAAGACCAGTAAGTAGGTCTGATAAATAGTAAAAAAAGTTGAATTCGTATTAGATTTGGTGTATGGTGCCAAGTGTATATGACCAACACACTTTAGATTTAGATAGATTTGTCCAACTGTGGACTATTTTGGATATTATTTATTATGATAAATATTCGAGAAATGTTATAGAACAATACTGAGATTATAGAATAATGGTTTTATCCAATAACAGCATGTCCGGGCAACAATTTTGTAAGGGGTCCTATCTGCAAAATCAGTCAGACAAAAATATATATTGTAATATACAAACGCGCAATACTCGATTATTTGCAGATGGAGTATCATATATTTGTATAACTACACGTCTTTAGAAAAATAACAGTCAAATAAATTTATATTTTGTTTTATCTAGAGGGCATTATTTAGGGTAGAGTTTTTAAATCCGACACGTCAAATGTACTATTATTAGAAATTTTATATATACATAAAACGGATTGAAATAATTTAGTACTTCATTTTTTTTTGTGGCTAGGACAATTAGTATTGTTCAAACTTCTCTCTGAATAAGGGAATAATACGTTTCAGTACTTCGCGCTTATATGCAGTCAAATTTTAGCTATTGTACTTTCTAACATAACAAAAAAGTTTTCGTTATAAAAATGTTTCGTTTACAAGCCCAAAGAATTTGCATATCTGTAAACGATAGTCATTTATTGATTTAATTATTTCCTAATTATGATGAATATATATTGTTTGAATCTAAATACATTCTGCACACATTCACGCATAGTACCATTTTTTTGAAATGCAAAAAATTATATTAAAATTTTAATTTTTCTGTAAAGGCCTACCTATGATAAAATGCAAGAGGAAATCAATGATCTGAGACGGACCGTTGCAATGCTGGCCGAAGCTCAAGCCAAAAATTTAAATCAACAACCTGGAGTAACACCAGTGGCCGCTAAACGTCCACGACTACAAGTGCCACAATAATTTGTATTCCATGGATGATTTTTCATTTGAAATCTTTACATTGTTTAAATTGAAAATGTCTATAAATTATATTATGTTTATTTTTTGTAAATGATGGAACTACATTTTCATCCACATTTTATAGAAGTCTATGCCTAGAATAAAAATTTAATGTTTATGCCTTAATAGCTTTGAAAATATCATTTTTATTTTCATTTGGCTTATTAAGATTCTTTTTAATGTTATAATACTAGTTCTTAATGTATTCTAAAAATATGTTCTTTTTATAAAATAAAATTTATATGTATATTTAATCTGAAAAAATATTGTTTTTATGAATATATTTTTTGGATATGGACATTAAGTACATTGTTTATAATTGACTCATCTATAAAAACCTGAAGTCAATTCGATTGAAAGATTTTCATGGATTGTACCATGGCCTATTTAATAAAGTCTACCGGGTGGCAAATCTGTGTCTTAGTCTTCGCTTGCTGCCAACATTCAAATCGCGAAATACCAACCAGAATAGCATTAAAACCAAAATATCTTTCAGGAAAACGTAGTGATAGTAATGTGCACAAATATTTTGGTTTAAATAAAAATATTTTTGTTTATTTATTATTTAAATAATAAATGGAGACAATGGATACTGAGGAGGACAGAAGAAGTATAAACTTTTATATAAAGAAGTATAAACCTTTAAATTTTTTTGTCACGTTCAAAAAATTCTATTATAAACATGTCACTTAATTGGAGGTATGTTTATGTTCTAAAGAAATAGATAATACAAATACATAAATAAGAAATATTAATACGCTTTCAAAAAGTTTATTCCTTAGACATTGTACTTTGCCTATTAACTGCAAAATATGAATAAAAATACAATTAATATGACTATATAGATCACAGATTATTTCGAAAGTTTAAATAAAATCATGTCAACTTTGTACTTTGCATGACGAGGCCAGGCCTACTACAGAAAACACTTTAAATAATATCGAAATTTCAAAAAATAAAATCTTCTTAATAGGAGAATTTTATTACCGAAAAAATATTTATTTCAAACCAATTTTTTTATAATCCTTTATACAAACATTCATATACGGCTTGCAATCACTTCCAATACAAATAAATCTAATAATCGGCTATTATTCCTCCTCTTTTGATTTTACAGGCCAATTGCCGATACCTCAACATCATCGTATACCAAGGGGATTAGTGGAGGCCTGGGGCCACCACATCACCAAAGTATACAACAACAGCAGCAACAGTTACATGCACAGAAAATGCAACAACATCATCATCAACAGCAGTTGCATCAACATATTCAGCAACAGTTGCATCACCAACAGCAGCAGCAGCAACAACATCAACAACAACAGCAGCAGCAACAACAGCATCAACAACAGCAGCAGCATCAACAACAGCAGCAGCAACAACATCAGCAGCAGCAACAACAACAGCATCAACAACAGCAACAACAACATCATCACCAACAGCAGCAACAACAACAGCAGCAGCAACAACAGCAATCCTCACGATCGGCAGCTAGTCCATTGTCGCCACCACGGCCTGGACCCGGTTCACAAGCTGCTGCTAATGCCTATGCCAAATACACTGATGTCAATGCTGTTCGCGAAGCCCCCAACCGCTTCATTCTACAGAGTCCCTATGGCCTCGGGCCGGGAGCTCAGTATCGCGATAGTCCCTACACCAGAATACCAACAATGCAAGCTGTGCATCAGGACTATCGCATGGCAGCTGCCTTGGCTGGAGTGGTTCAAGGTCCTCCACCACCTACTGTCAGCATTAGTGCATCTCATGGCCTGGATACATTGCATTTTGCCCATCCACCTGCGACTCATCAAAGTGTCTCGACTGGGTCAACGCAATTGCTTAGCAGTGCACCGCCCAGCTCGGCGACAGGAGCGAACAGCGGACTGCCCGGTCCCAGTAGTTCACCACACAATGCCAATAATGTGTCAGCGGCGGGACAGCCACAACAACCACCACCGGTCAGTGGTAGTGGCGGCAACATAATCACTAGCGGTGGCAAACGCATGATGTTGCCCACTCCTCATCGCCAGCAACCACAATATTCCAATGCTGATTATCTTTTGGGCAGTGCTGTGTCGATGTCATCGGCAGCTGCTGTGGCCGTTGCGGTGGCTGCAGCCAATGCAAATGCCATGACGGCCAATAGAGGGCATGGTGGACAGCCTCAGGCACCTCCACCAGATCCGGGCGGACAACAGCCCTACAAGAAGCTGAGACTGAGTGATGCCGCAAATAGCATCACTAATTCTTCAAATCACCTGCCACCTACAACACATCAAGTACAGAATGTCCAACCACAACAACAACCACCTCCGCCTAGTCAACAACAACAATCGCAGCAGCAACAACATCAGCATGCACAGCAACAAGCGCCACCGCCGCCACAACAACGTCAACCCTCACCGGCTGTGGGTCTTTCAGCAGCTCAGGCTGCTGCAGTTGCTGCGAATGCAATGCGATCCTCTTCTACTGACCACGTTGGTCATCCATCGCTGCCTCCACATACGCATTTATCGGTGTTGCCACCGACTCACCTACCCCCGCAACCTTCACAGCAGGTTCCGTCTCAGCAGCAGCAAACATCACTTCAACCGCAAGCGCCTGTACCACAGCCCTCGTCACTGGCCATGCAACAGTTGAAAGTGGAGACCCAACAACTGCCTCCACCTGCGACAGTACCCACGCCTCCAATGAACCGGGGAACCCCAACTTCCCTGGCGATAAATACAGCTCTGAATGTCATAACAAATTCCACAACTCCCCTTGGAAGCAAATCATCCTCGTCAAATTCTTCTGTTGCAGCTGTCGGCCCCAATGTCAGCGCCTCGCCATCCTTGCCAGCTGCGGGGAGTGTGAACGCAACGACAAATAATGCTCCGATAACATCATCCTCAACAGAAGCCTACCATCCCCAAGTGGAAGCGATATCACCGACGCTGCCAGCCGACAATGCCGAGGAACGAGGACGCACTGCCAAAGAAGATCTATTAATGCAAATCCAAAAGGTGGACACGGAGATTACCGGAGCTGATAGCTCCCTGGAATCGTTGCGGAAGAAGGAGAAGAGTTTGCTGGACGTAGTTGCCGCTGCCAAACAACAAAAAGAGAAAGCCGAAGCGGCGAGAAGAAAAGCTCTGGCCGATGCCGAAGACGATGCTGCCAATTCGTGGCGCTCCCAAACATTGGCCCAAAAAATCTACATGGCGAACCGTAAAACGGCCGCCGCTCAACATTCCATACTCGACAACTGTGGCGAACGTTATCTGTTGCCGTTGTACAACCAGCCCATGGATGTAGAACATCTGACGACTCTGCTACAACGCCACCAGACGACGATTAAGGCACCACTGTTGGAGCACATACGCAAAATAAAACACGATCGCTATCTGCACCGCACCAAGTTGGTGGATACATACGCCCAAATGTCTGCCGAGTGGCAGAAGCGTGTTGACAAATCGGAAGCGAGCGCCAAGCGCAAAGCTCGAGAAGCTAAAAACCGGGAATTTTTCGAGAAGGTCTTTACGGAGTTGCGCAAGCAGCGCGAGGACAAGGAACGATTCAATCGTGTGGGTTCACGCATTAAGTCCGAAGCCGACTACGAGGAAATTATGGACGGCCTGCAAGAGCAGGCCATGGAAGTGAGGAAAATGAGGTCGTACGCCATTATACCACCGATCATGTACGACGCTCACCAGCGCAAATGTGTCTATCACAATGAGAATGGTCTCGTCGAAGATATGGTGGCTGTGCACAAGGAACGAGGCGCCTTGAACGTCTGGACAACCGGCGAGAAGGAGATTTTCAAGGAGAAATTCCTGCAACACCCCAAAAACTTTGGAGCGATAGCAGCCAGCCTAGACCGAAAATCGGCCCAGGACTGTGTGCGTTACTACTACCTCAGCAAGAAGACCGAGAACTATAAGCAGTTGTTGCGAAAATCGCGACAGAGAACAAGAGCCTCCAAGACGCTGCAGAAATCGCAACAGCAACAGACTCAGTGCATCATAGATTCGCTGACGACGGGTGTAACAACGAGATTGCAAAGGGAGCAACAGCAGAAGACCGGTGGTCGATCGGCTGCAGCCGAAAGAGAGCGCGAGAGAGCTGAACGGGAAAAGGCGGCTGAAAAGGCTGCAGCAGAAGCGGCCAAAGCGGCAGCCAAAGCAGCGGCTGCTGCTGCAGCAGCCAAAAATGATGCAGCATCTAATGTAGAAACAGTCTCCTCCAGTACATCCGACAACACCAGCAGCACCTCCACATCGGAAAGGACGAAGAACAAAGGATCCAATTCAGGATCGTCGTCGAGTGGAAATAAAGCGGCGGCGGCTTCAGCTGACAAATCAGCAAACGAAACCGTGACAACGGATACCGCATCTTCTGGAACTGCAGCTAAATCGAAAGCAACAACTGCTGATGCGAATGCTGATAGCAATGTGGAAGGAACAAAAGCAGCCGAGGCCTCCAAAGAGGATAAGAAATCTAATGATACGACGGCATCGTCGTCGACCGTAACGACGTCTGGTAGTGATCAGCAGGTTGCTGCTGCGACAAAGAATAGCAACAATGCGAAAACTGATGATAATGCAGTAGCACCAGCTGCTGCCAGCACATCACAATCGACAACATCATCGACTGCTGTTACAACAAATACAAATTCAAATCATCCGCCCTTATCAACGCCCAATGGCATTAAAGCTTCATATGTGGCTGCTATGGCAGCTCAAATTGCTAGCGCTAGCCCAAGCACACCAACAATGCCATCTTCCACGAATGCAACAGCAGCTGGAGCAGCGTCCACAGGTATTGACAACGAAGATATGTCGACGACATCGTCGTCCACAATTGGTAATGACAAGACGGCAGGCGGCAGTGGTGTTAAAAATACTGCTGCAACTGGAACGCCATTGGATGCTGCTGCTGCTGTAGCCAGCAATAAAACAACAAGTACATCCAATAATGTTACTACACCGACTACCTCAACAACGGCTGGCAATTTCTTGGGCCAAAAGCTAAAAGTAGCACAGGTCGAAAGTCTTATGGGTACTGGTGCTGCTAGTGCCACAGCAACAAATAATGACTGCAACTCAGATGTTAGGTAAGTTGGCGGGGGGATCTTTATTTTCGTCATTATATTTTTCTAATGTTGTTTTGTTGTTTTTCCTTTGCAGTGATCCCAAAAAGAAACGTCTTGACTTGGACGGTTCTTCTACAACAAGTTTATCGAAAACACAAAACAATGCTACCACAACCACCACCTCCATCATCATTAATCAACAACAACAGCAACCTCTGTCTAATTCTAATAATAATTCAGCAACAACAAGTAGCAATCCTGCCAACAACAACAATAGCAATGCCAATAATAAAAATAACAATGCAAACGATATCACCTTGAGTTCTGGAGCCGTAAATCTTCTAGGATCAGCGGCGGCGGCAGCTGCTGCTGCGGCATCATCAACCAAATCGAATGTCACGACGCCAATTCATGGCGGTACATCGTTGACACATTCCGTCGTAACATCAAATTCCACCACCGCAAACACAGCCACAACATTATCATCGATATCAAATGCTGCTGGTGTATCGACCACAATATCATTGGTGGGCGGCGATGTAAATGTTATCGATGGCAAAGGTAAGTTCTGTTTTTATATATGATCTAGATATATATTATGTTGAGAATTGTTCATATTTTTAGAGATCATTTAAGACGACCCAATATGACTTACAACATAGGAGGTTTTATTAAGACGAAATCGTTTTACTCATATTGGTAAAATTAGATTTTCCAATCGATAGCTCATAAATATAGATAATATGGAGTAAGAAAAAAATATAGTTTTTTATCAGATGACTATTGGAATAGCGACTTATTCTGGGAAGTGGCGTATATACATCCTACATATAGTAAATATATGTATGATATAACAGACGTTGGTCGAGTAAGACTCGGGTCATTTCCGATGATCGACCCCTCAGTCGTGGAAACGGACTGTGGTGGCCTGTTTTTAAAGTTTCCCAATTAACCTTTTTAGCCCATGGCGATTTCAATTCCCTTTCCATCAAAAAAAAAAAAAAAAAAAAAAAAAAAAAATTCCACAAGTTACAACTGGAGTTTGAAAAAAGGCTCCCAGTATTAAGAGTCGAGTTCCTTCGTCGATGTAGGTATGGTGTGCTTGAAAGTAAGACGTAATCTTGTTGCGATGCCCAGATTTTAAATGTTGCTAACCCTGATGAAATCTGGGGACTACATATAGGCCTGTATTCCTTCTTTCATCTAGTTCCTCTTGTTCATATCAACTCCTGGGATATAGGGAATGCGGTGCACAGCTTTGTCTTGATATACCATAAATCCAATGGAAAGTCCATTGCGCCCTACAATCGCACAAAAATCTGACTTTTTTATTTACATTTAAAATTGTCCATTCCATAATCGATTTTCCGTATTTTTATCCATGGAAACTGTTGTCGTCGCCGCATTTGTTTTGTTTTTAATATTTTTGTTTAAATCACTAATTCGCTGAGAAACCTGTTTTTTGTTTTTAAATGCCCTCTTGACAAATTCATCATGCGGAAACACTTAAACCCCAATAAAAACTGTTTGTAGAACAGACCGAGTGAGTGAGTGAGCGAGCGTGTGGTGGTGGGGGGACCATGGTGAGGCCAAAAACGCCAAGCCAGGCAATTATCTTAATAAATGAAAATTTCATTAAAAAAAGGAGTACAACAAAATGCACGTTAAAATGCCTTAAATTATGCAAGAGATCTCTTTTGCTTACATTTGGTGGCCCTTGGTGGGGCAATGCTTTTGCTTTTTGGGGCTGGCTATTGATATCCATGGATGGCAAACCAAGCCAACCAACTCAGAGAGATAAGTGAGTGAGGGGGATATAGAGGGCCAACAAGAAGCAAACAGCAGTGGCAACGGACCTCATGTTTCACTTTAAAAATTAAATATCAGTGCATATTTTTGGGAGCTCCAATGCAAGGAGGGTGGGTAAGGAGAGCATACATACTCAGCTAGTAAAAGAATGCAACCAACAATTTATATTTAATGTAATTTATACATTTACCAAAAAATATATTTATAACAAAAAGAATGAAAAAAAAAAACACGAAATCAAAAGTTCCCCCATGTTGTGATGAGAGATGTTGGTCGTTGGTTGGTTGCCCGCCAGCCAGCCTGTGACCAACCGCCTCTTTTTTGCTTGTGCCATGCTGTCATCTTTTGAATGTCTCAATGAATAATTGATGGCTATGAAAAACAATCATCACAAAAATATGCTTTCCCGCCTTGCCTGTGATGCCACTACCACCAGCCCTTCTATCTACCCCTTGACGCTATGCTTTCCTCCTGGTTGGTTTGCTGTAGCAATTGTTTGTTTTTATTTTTATACTTTTGGTGTTTTTGTTGAGGGTGCTGCGTTTCTTTTGTCTTCTTGTTATTGTAATTTAAAATGTTTTCGTTTATGGTTAAATTATTGGTAGTGTGAAAAAGGGGATTTTGGTTTCTGATGGCTCGAACCCAACAACAACAGCAACATCAAATGCTGCTGCATTGCGTTGATTTGAGTTTTGTTGTTCTGATTTGAAATGTTATGTTCCGTTTTTTTTTTTTTTGTTGCACATTTTTCAACTGTCCGTTCATTTGTCTCCCCAGTGAGTTAATTAAACTCAATTAAATTAAATATTTTTTGTGATAAACTCCTGTTTGTTGGTGTATGTACGTGTGTGTGCGCGCTTACCTCCGGTAGATGGCTGTCATTTAGTTGATGTTATTTTTTACACTTTTTTTGTATGTGTACCCTTTTTTATATGATCCCAGTGGAATTGAGGAAAAGGTGGTTGGACGGACGGTCGGTTGGTCCGTTGTTTGGTTATCATGCATGGAACTGCTGCTGCTGGTGGTAATGTTGTTTTGATTTTTTTTAATATTTTAATTTATGAAAAATAAACACTTAACATTATATTAACATGGAAGGGGGAGTAAGGGAAGAATGAAGCGAGACAAACAATAATGACCAATAGAATACAGTTTTGGGCTCGAGGGCGATTGGTTGCCTAAGGTGGGGGCGATTGCGTGAATTGTTAAAAGTAACATTTATTAAATTTACTTATCACATTAATGCTGATGATTGTTTATTATGCCGCTGCTGCTGCTGTTGGACATTGTTTGTCCTAGTGTGTCAACTTTTTCATACTCCACACACCTCCCGTCCGCCTACACCTTCATTTTTTTTTTGTTATTTTCAAGGGGAATTTAATTAATATAATATGCATATTCGATTAAATCATTGTTATTATTTTTTGATTAATTAAATTACATAGATTTTTTCCTGATGCTCGTGTATACTACCAGCAGAATATTACACAGCATTTTTATATTATAATTAAAATTATATCACATAATTACAATTGCCAATACAGTACAGATATTCACACATATGTATATTTGTATATAAATTCATATATTTAATTATTGTGGTGGTGTAAAATTGTAATTTTGTGTGTTTTATTTAAAGCGGTTATATTTTTGCACAGATATATGTAAATCCACATCGACTTATCTTAAACTGTAATTTCCTTGAAAAATTAGGATAACGAGGAGGGGACGTTTCGCGAGAAATTCACATGTAGAAATAACAAATTTTAGTCCTCAATATAGAGTATAGTTCGACGTCTTACAGAATCATGATTATACTTTTCCACTCCTCAGAATATAACATATTAATATCGACCATGAGTTATATTGTCCTTATCATACAAGACCACCAAATTACTCCATCTGATTTAGTTTTCTTTTTTAACATTTTTCTGAGCACAATATTTACATATAACCTCAAATTTGCCCCATTCAGTAAAATAACCTAAAATCTTCACAACTTTAATAAAAGCTAATTAATTAATTTTCAACATTGAATTTGATTACTTTTTTTGGATTTTATTATAGCACATTTTTTTTACAAAATATGTTTTTTTATTTTGTTTAATTTTTTATTGAAATTAATTTGTTTTCTATTTTCATTATAGATTTTTCAACTAAATTCGTGCGTTTCATAGAAATAGCTTAGATATGGTTTTCTTTTTTTCAACATTAAATGCTAAAGCTCGATATGTGTGTTTAAGTATTATTTTATTAATATGATTGTGAAAATGTTGAAACAAAAATATTTTTAGAGACTTTCGGAAGAGTCTTCAATCTTTACTATCATTAATTTTTCTCCTTTTCTTCTTCATCCAAGTCATCAGTGGGAGGTGTCTTCAGCGATTCTTCTATTGTTGTACCACCACCGGTATTGTTGGTATTTTGTTGGCCCGCTGCAGCGGCAGCTTCTTCTTCGGCATGACACATTTTACGATGTTTATGTACAAAATAATAACTTGGAAATTTACAGCCACACGTCTTGCAAGGATAATATTGAACATTCATGTCTAAAGGACGCACCTCACGTCTTAGAAATTCGGCGGTACTACCACTACTGCTTGTTTGATGGCCACTCAAGTTGGAATTTCTTAAAACAAATGGCCGTATTTTTTGTAAACTCGATGATTGTTGTTCGCCTGCTGTCGTCATAATCGATGATAGATTCGTCGTTGTCGTCGCTGTTGAGTTACACTGATCATCTGTGCTGCCGGCGATTGTCCTTTTCTCATGCGGTGGAACACAAGTAGCTTGCAGAGTTAATGGATTCAAATGACGCTTAGCATGTTTCTGATAACAATATTGAGATTTGAATGTGTGTTTACAATAGACACATACGAAAATTTCATTTTGTATTTTACGTCCATGTTTAGGGCCATTACCCCCACCTCCAACGCCACCCCCTGTACCAATACTACCATTTGAAGTTTCACTATTTTCTGATTCTTCGGCATTGTTCAGATGTTGCTGTTGGCTAATGGTTTTTGCCATTTGTTGATGAAAAGACAACGAAACACTTTGCAGAGAACGTTCTTGGCCAGGTGTTGCATTCATATGATGGTGGCCACCGGCGCTTGCTGGACATGTTTCGGGTTTGTGACCATAGGCTGTATTGAGTATACGTTTAAAACGCACCGGTCCATCACAACTGGCCACATCTATAATAACCTTATTGGCCTCGGAAGTATCCAATTGAGAGGCTGGTATGGGTGCCTTGGCCACTTGTAGGCCCGTCGATGACGTCGAGTGGTTGTTGTTGCCAGATTTTCGTCGTTTATCAGATTTGTGGGTTTTTCTGTGTGACTTATCATGTTTTCTATTACTGCCATGTGTTGTGGGATGATGAGAAGCCAAGGACTCTTTGGTCGTTTTTTGATTTTTAGAGGATATTTTTTGTGGTGTTTCACATGTTTCGACAATCACCTCGGCATCCTCTGATGTTGTATCAATAAAAACTTCAACATCTTCGTCGTCATCATCAACAACGGCGGCGGCATTAGGATTTGCATTGTTTGTCATTGGACCGTAGTTACGTTCATGAGATGTCATCGAGTGCCGATCTAATTCATCAACTTCAATGTCATCTTCATCATCTTTATTCGTTTCCATTTCATGGATTTTTCCCATAGGTGTTACTGTGGTGGCACTATTTGCACTGCATGTCGCCGCCGATGTTATCGTTGAAGTTCGACAGTTTAAGGAGGACGATGGAG